TACTATCTCAAAACACAGTTATAGGTTCATGGAGATATGGGTTGAAGGATTGCCATGATCTTACATATTGCCATTGCTGCAGCATTAGTTTTTGACATCATGCCCAAGTTGACTTTCAGTCCAGGGAAGGTTATTCATATTGATAACTATCTTTGGGACAGGCCCTTACATATTGCCATTGCTGCAGTCTATTCCTTCATATTGATAGCTACTGTCCTATCTCAAAACACAGTTATGGGTTCATGGAGATATGGGTTGAAGGATTGACATGACCTTACATATTGCCATTGCTGCAGCATTAGTTTTTGACACCATGCCCAATTTGACTTTCACATCAGGACAGGCTATTTGCTGCTTTCAGATTGATAGCTATTGGCCTGTCCCAAAGATAGTTATCAATATGAATAACCTCCCCTGGACTGAAAGTCAACTTGGGCATGATGTCAAAAACTAATGCTGCAGCAATGGCAATATGTAAGATCATGGCAATCCTTCAACCCATATCTCCATGAACCTATAACTGTGTTTTGAGATAGGACAGTAGCTATTAATATGAAGGAATAGACTGCAGCAATGGCAATATGTAAGGTCATGTCAATGCTTCAACCACATCCCCCAGAACCTATACAGAGTCAGGGACACTATAAACTACATGTCAACTACAAACTTTTGTAGTCTCAAAAAGCAGACATTACAGACTTTTGTAATAAAAAAGTGCACACTACAAATCTTTTGTAGTCTCAAAAAGCAGACACTACAAACTTTTTTAATGAAAAAGCGCACACTACTTGCACCTTCCTTTTTTGGTCATTTTTCCCATGATAAAATAATTGTAGCCCTTTCTTTTAGCTTTCTAAATATACTGAAATCATGTTGTTTGGTTTTGAGTCTTTTACATCATATCTCCACAATGGGAGCACTTCAGAACATAATTCAAATAGATTCTAGAAGCTAGAGTGCAGGGCTACAACTTTAATTTTTTGCTATTTTAGGAAATTGATCATGTGACCACTTTCCTAATAACCCTGAAATACCAGAAATATTGCCCTAGGGAAAAATGAAATACCACAAATATCACCCTAGGCAAGCAATGATATATAGCCCTGGAAAACAAGTCACCTTGCAACCTTTCAGTTTCTACTTGCTGCATTTGTAATGTCAGTGGCGGCCTTTTTGGTGCCCTTTTGTTTCAATGCATCTTTTTCCAAATGTAGTTGTGCAGGTGGTGCCTCCCTGACCTTTTCTTGTTGGGGTCTTGTGGACTTTTGGATAAACAGTGCATCTTCAATGTTTCTTTGCTCTTCAACAGAGGCCGGATCTTGGTGAGGCTGCTTGGTGATTGGTTTGGGTTTGGGGTGAGGCAGGTTTGGCGCTGCAACTCTTGAATTTGGGTGTGCGGCATCTTCCAGCCCGTCAATGTTTCCTTGCTCTTCAGTGGAGGTTTGACCTCGGCATCAAGGCTGCTTGCTGGTTCGTTTGGGTTTGGGGTGAGCCTTTGGGGGCAGAATTGCTGCGGCCACTTTGTCCTGCTCTTCAGCAGAGGTTGGACCTTGGCACTGACGGTGTTTGGTGATTCGTTTGGGTTTGGGGCGAGCCTTTTGAGCCAGGATTGGTGCACTGCCGTCTATGACGTCTTCCCCTGAATTTCTGGCCATGGCATCTTCCAATGCCAAATTTCTGGTGGTCTTTTGTGGACCCTTGCACCATTTGACTGTCTCATCTTCAGTTGTGGGATCAGTGGTATAGTCTTCACTTTGCACATGCACTGTCTGTTTATGCCTTTTTTTTACAATGGGCAGATCGGATTCAGGATCATCGGGGAGACCTCAGTTGATTAACATAGGTGACGTGCAATGAGCTGGATGTGCCCCAGAGGAAGCATTTGGAGAAGCGCACCCATTGGGCACAGCAGTGGCAAGAGCTGCCACTGCAGTGGAAATGGTCGGGCCAGGCCTGGTGGACGATGGTCGCATCGTAGAGGAAGTAGTTGAGGAAACACGCCCATTGGGTGCTGCAGTGGCAACAGCCGCCATAGAACCAATATTCCTTGGACTGGGCACAGGGGTACTGCCTTGTTGAGACAAGTCATACAGGGCAGGGGACAGTTTCTTATCTTCTATGAAAATGAAAAACGAAACGTGTGACTTGCCCCACCAGTCTGCTGTCAGCCTCTCCACAATTGAAGTATTTTCTTGCAGCATGGAACCGTTAATTTGCTGGGATCACGGATCTTGACATCCTCAGGCCACATCTCACTCTCCCACAACGTGTTCCTGTGCTCATCTAAACAAAACCAGGAAACAACCACCGATGGCTTGCCTGAAGCCAAACGATAATGAATGGTCATGAATTCTCTGATGAGGGATTTAAGTAGATTGCCAGATTCAGCTCTATCCTCAGGCGCAAGAGGAAGCACTGGTAGGCCGCCATCAAGGTCAAAATGTGGTGCCTTCCGTTTCTGCCTCGGCCTGGTATAGCAATGTTGTGCCGGTGAATCTGAAGGCCCCTGCTGAAATTCTGCAGTTTGAAGTTCAATACTTCACTAATCAAGGGTGTGACAACATAATCGTCTTACCTTTAATGTAGTTCAAATACTGGACCCAGGCTTCCAAAATGTTACCTACAGCCTCAGGAAACATATCTCTGAATTCTCAGAGGCCCTCTGGACCGAAATCGGCATTATGGTCTAACCAAGCGCTCCTATGTTGTCCATTTTCATCTATGTCACCCACCAAACTCCAGCTGAAAACTCCTAGCTGGTATTGCTTAACTTTATCCATTTCTCTCATCATGCCCAGGCCATCTTTCGAATTGAGTCTGTTTGGTGGTCAAAGTGAGACGCTGCTGAAAGGCATGATTGGGACCGCTCACTTTCTTTGGACGTCAGGGGGTGGTACGGCATTCGTCCATTCCTCTGCCAAGCCTTTATACTCCTCTTTCTCAGCGTCTGTGAGACCACCCATTACTTCCTTTAGGCCTTGTTGGTATTTAGCAAGAAACACTCTTGACCCAGGTGACACGCCCTTTGCGAGCCGAGTCACGACCTCATGTATTTGCTCCTGCTGCAGGTGCGCAACTACATATCTGGTGGAAATGAGTTTGACATATCCAAACTTCGGCATCCTGATGCGTCTTCCATGGTTTTGAAACCACTCTTTGATCTTCTATGGCAAAAGCGTCAAATGAGCAGCAGCATGACTAGCTAGCACCCAACTGGTGGCTACCACTTTTATGATATAAACAAGGCAAGTGCCAGCAGAGCTATGTGATTGTGGCCACACTCTTTTATGAAAGACATTTCATTCAT